TCGAAATGATCGTTCTAGTATTTAGATGATGAGCTGTGTAACAAACATAACTTATAATTCCAATATGCTAAAATCCACAACAAGCGTCAGTATTGAATGAATTTATTTATTTAAGTGTCATTGGGCAATAAATAAATATAAATAAATATAAATAAATAAATATAAATAAATTCATTCAATACTGACGCTTGTTGTGGATTTTAGCATATTGGAATTATAAGTTATGTTTGTTACACAGCTCATCATCTAAATACTAGAACGATCATTTCGAAGCTTTACCTTTAGTACGCATTATGCGCTCTGGCTATCCTGCCGTCCAAGAGTACTAACACAGCAGAGTAGGAAATTCTCGTTTCTATGTCATTAAAGGTAAAATCACCTTTAAATGTCTTTTTCATCTTAACATTTATTTCTATCATTAACAATATTATTACGTCTACCGACTGTCATTTTCTTCATGATGAAAGAAAATGTACACATTAATAACTAACGCACTTTTTCATTTGGTTTCTTTATCAAAGTTTAGTTGCTAAAAACTATGTTTTTTCAACTTTTCATAGCAAGACTTCCGTGTTCACTTTCAATTTTAAATTAATAACTGGTTTAAGAGAAGAAAGGCTTAACACCTTTTAGACGCGAAATGAAAAAAATATGAAAAACACCTTTCGGACGGAATTTTCATACTTTTCATAACAACGACTTTTTTCGTTTCCCATCTAAACGGTGGTAATGAATGTTAAAATAAGTAAAAACGCCAGAGATCAAGACCAGTTTCACAAGAAAATTCTCTTTTTGACTTTCAAAAAAAAATCATCATTCTCGTTCTATAGTTGCGTGCCACCCGTTAAAACTCATACAATTCGACATAGAGGTTTGTATCATTGAGCAAATAAATGAACATATTATTGAAAAAAATCTTTGGCTGTGTAATGCTCTTCTCGACTCAATCCTAAATGTCCTGGGAGAATTGCATTGTCTGCAGCCAAGAAATTAATAAAACAAAAAAGAGAGAATACATCTAGGTGAATTCAACCTGCATTTCGATATAAGCTTTATTCCATTAGAATACAAGCAGAAAATATTCCACTATAGTATTCTAAACTAAAACTATCCAAAAATACAAAATCTATTTTGTACGAAGAAAGATTCGAACATGTGAACGTAGCTTTGTAGTTAACTACAAAACTAAACTCACCGTTCTGTATCTATATTCTGTACAACGATTAAAGTTGTGCAACGATGTTGTGTACTCGATGTTACCAGTAGTAATTTTTTTTCGTATGTTTTTTTTGCTAGAAAGAACGATAAAATATTGCTGACAAGTACATACATATTATACTGCGATACTAATCAACTTTTCTATTCAATAAACACAAAAAAATGAAAGAAAAACATAATAAGCAGTAAAGAGAAAAAACCGTAGGTATTGCATTCATTTTTCTTTTTTACATCATACACTATACAGCGTCGCTAGAGAAGAAACATACATCGAATGACTCAACTAGTTCACCAAACTCCAGTGTAAGCTGTATGACTTCTGATCACTGAAATAATACACTGCTTGTCTATGTTTTTTCATTCTTCTTTTTTCAAGTCGACATGAAGCTCAACAGCTTAGAGTTGGTGGTGTTATTGAATTAAGAGATTTGGATGAAAGTGATATAAAATTATTTGAAGATGTAAGTCTTAAGTATTAAGGTGAACCGGTTCGATTAAAAATCTGTTTCTTGTTGTAATATAGTATCGCGACATAATTGAAAGAAAAATTCGCGAACAACATGAAACTTTACCATCAAATTTTAAAATAATGCCCATTAAAGTTCAAACACAAGTTGTAGCTGGTACAAATTATTATTTTAGAGTAAGCGGCACTTATTACTGCTATTGCGTACCGCACTGCTTGTTCTCTCTTTTATTCATTCGAGGTAATTCTTCCAAATGAACAGTATGGAAATGTTAGAATTTTTGTTCCTCTTCGTGGTGCCCCAAATAACAACAGTTTGACATCAGCCGATCAACGTGAAAAAAATGTCACTATTGAACCGGGTACAACAAAGAAATTGGAACAAGATTTTCGCGCTGATTAATAGTCGAGCAAGACTTTTATGATTAATATACTACTATTTAATGACGGTACTAAACCAATTTATTTTATCATTCATCAAGCCTTCTCTTAAACCAGTTATTAATTTAAATTTAAATTTGAAAGTGAACACGGAATTTTTGCTGTTAAGTGTCTTATCGAAGTCCGCAACTTCGTGGAAAATCAAGAATTTAGCCCTATATGTTTCAAACATATCACCGGAACAAAAAAAATAAAGTTGGTTTAGAGTTGTTGAAAAGTGATTTTTCGTATTCAGCCCACTCGATAACCCAGAAAATTTTCTATTTTTGACTCGGGGTACTTCCAAAAGTTTAAGAAAAATTTTGAAACAAAATGGCGCAAAAAGTTTTCCATGGAAAAATAATACTAATTTGAAA